TTTGAGGGGCCGCAGGTTGGGCTGCTTTTGCGCAGCAGGGATCTTCTTGTAAAAATCGTCGGATTTTATGAGTTGGGGCACCTACTGTACTTGTCTGGCAGCGTGCACAGTGATTCTGGATGCGTTATCATCCATTCTGGCGAACAGGACAGTTTGCCACCACAGCAAGGGTTTACTTTTTGGGTTTGTTTCCACTTTAATGAAAAAAACTCTTTTGAACATCCATAATTTAACTGCCCACAATGCAGTTCCGTTCCTGTGGAAGAATAATTACTTTGGGCAGTTTAAAAAATGTTATTTGCTGCACATGTAGTGCACCGGAATGCAGTCCGGCCGCGCGGCCTTCTGCAGTGTCAGTGCATGTGCAGACGCGTACAGTGCCCGATAGTGTTTGAAGTGCGTTGGTGTATAATCTAATTGGCTGGCTGCGAGCGTGGCGCCATGGTGTAGTGGTTAGCACACAGGACTCTGAATCCTCTGACCCGAGTTCGACTCTCGGTGGTGCCTGGCCTTTTCCGCTCCGCCTAGGGACATGGCATATTGTCTAGACACTTCAATTTGGGGGGAAGGGGCAGCTTCTGGCGCGCACTGTGCGTTCCCTCTGGCACCGTGCATGGGTGCCTCTCCGGAGCAGGTTCTTCTTTAGGGGGTTTCATGGTACTTCAAAATTGCCGGTGACTTCACGTAAAGTCGCCCATAATCTTATTCTGGTAAAGGTCTATTATATGGCTGACCAGGGGATCAAACCCCCGGAATTCTGTAATACAGGACCGATGGCACTAGGGGTTATACGGGTGGGTCAATACGGGGGCGCATGGGAGAAAATAAAAGGAATATTTAAAACAAAACAGCAGACAAAATCCCCAGGACTGCATCCCAGGCTCTCCATGCGATGCAGATATAAGGAAATATCGGTTATTCGCAGTCAACAGAGGGAACTATGCGAAGTCGAGAGGCCAGCGATTCGAGCCTTCTGGCAGCGTATTTCTTCTTTCTGTGCAGCTAAGGAAGGAAAGGTTTTAATGAAGACCGTCCCAAAATGCAGGTGTCTTTGCGCCGTATCCTAGGGAAAATACAGTTAGCTTCACGGTTGGATTTAAGGTTGCGGATGAAGTTTGCGTTAATCTAGGCGTACGCTTAAGATAACGGTTATATCCAGTGTTAGATCTAAATTTAAGGCTCCGAGTAGGGTTAGGGTTACGATTAGGACTAGGGTTTAATTTTATGTCAGAGCTTATGTTATGGTTAGAAAATGGAAATATTAACCCTCCTCCTGAAATCATGCACAGGACCACTTTGATTACCTAGGCCAGGCCTTCTAATTCTCGTATTCTCTTTAGAGGGTCATATAAGTAACCCTTACCCTTTAAGTTATCTCACTTCTCATAGTCCGTCGTAAGTAAAGTTTTGCTACTGCGCAGGCGTTAGATATAAGAGAGATACGCTTTATTTTGACAATATCATTCCAAAATCTTCAGCAAAAAAACTTCCTCCATTCAAAGGACTAAAATTAGGTGCACAAACCCACAACACCGGGAAATCACAAGTAATCCATAATCGCCAATGACTGCAATTGTCGACATCGTGGATAAATGTCCTTGGAAAATTTGTCACATATAGGCCAAATTGGACTGCTCTCAAAAGGGTGCTAACGTCGTACCCTCGTGCACTGATGACCTCATTGTAGTTCAAATAAACAAAGAGGGATAGAAATCAGTTTATAATGGGATGAAGTAGGCCAACGGATGCATATATAAGAAAATTTGCATGCCAATGGAGGAAGGAAAAAGCGGCGGCTCAATTTGAAAAGTCTCCCGGATATGATCCTTCCACCTTATGTTACGAACTCCAGCTTCCTTTTCTTGATTTATTTTCATTATAAGTTGCCACTGGGAGAGATTTGTTTTATTGTGTTGCAGTATCTTCCCTCCCCCCCCCCTCGAAGTCATTAACGACACCACTGACGTCGTCCCCAGGAAATTCGGGCAGACAGATAGTTGTAGTACAACGCAAGAGAGCAAGTGTTTACGTAGGCTTTGAAATTATTGGCATGTAATCTCTGACTTCCGGTGGAGAGGGTTATGCTGTAAGCAGGCAATGAGACTATCAAATGTCACGAGCGAATATGATCAATGGCACGCTGGCAAAAAATATTTTCTAGAGGATTGAGATCGGGGCAGTTGGCAGGAATAAAAACAGATTGCAAGTCACACGTGGAAAGGCTGGCTGTTGCTTAAAAGTTAAATTACAGTTGTACATGTCATTTAATTTCATATCACTTTGTGTACATTGAAAGAGATTTACTTACGACACATTTCTTTGTAATTGTTTCGAGAGTTTGATTACGATGAGATTCGGATCATTCTTGAAAGGCTGATTTTCAGCCGATTGCCCATAAAAACTGACTCTGCTATACGTGTTTACCAAAAATTTCAAAAAAGTATATTTTTCCAAAGCCTTTTACCTAAATAGTGAGTTTTTTAACATTGCTTTTATTCAGCTGTCTGTTTGGGTCGTGGTTTTTGAATCACCCAAATACATGTCATGTTGCCGTCGCGACATCCTACCAGCTTCCGTTTTCTGTCTTTTGTAGTCTCCAGTAGCGGCCACCGGCTTTATCACTATCATCGCCGCGATCTTGACACTGGCTTTCACCATTGAAAGTCTGGCTGACTTTCTGAGTTTAGGAACCCTTATCGCCTACTCCATGACGGCAATTGGCGTCATCTTTATTCGCTATTGTCCTCCGCCCGAGCTCAACGGATTGCCGGATGCCGACTTGCAGAAACCAGCCAACTCCGTAGCACCGGAGCGGGTTCATGTGAGTGCTGAATTCTGAATTCTTTTGTTTTCCTATCAACAAAAGTGAACGCATGCTGGTTTAGAACATGATTCAGTGCCGTGCGAATATTCAGTGGGACAGCATAGCTTCCTTCTCCCCCTTCTTCAGAATCACACTGAACGTCATACCTGTTAGCCACCGAACTGAATCTCGTTGACGATCGACTTTAGATTATGTTGCATTGGCTATGTGTTCTCCTGTTACACAGCACTGCTGGACTAAAAAATAACCTTCGGAATTTAGTTTATTGCCTATAATTTGGTGAGTTAATTTACTACACAATGCCTAATTTGACCTAATTGCCCTCTAAAATTTCCAGACATTCAACCCGTTCGTCTACTCGTTCGAGGGGAGTTACTGTCTCGCGTAAAGATCAATAGAACGCCTGCCTACCAATAAAAGCACCTTCGGGTACTTTTTGCTGCAACGTTTGGTAAAAGGCTCGAGACATTATTTAAGAAAAAGCTGAGCGACACATTTCAAGAATAGAATGATAAAGGACACCGCGTTAAGGGTTTAATGCTGAAATCCTGAACTTAGACCAGGAGGACTCTTTTTCATAGTCAGCACACCACTATTGGTGGCACTTCTACCAGTGACGCAAGTGTTTTTTAAAGCAACTTATACATGAACGACTGGACAGCACTGGGTCACAAGAGGAGGAAGGGATGAAATATATTCGAGAACCCACTGAGTTTACGGGCCCTTCTGGTGTGATTTAGTTATCCTTACTTACACCTCACAAAAAGGCTAATTTGAACGAAAGGTACATAAACTCGCGGCACAATATAGCCTCAAATACACTTTCGGCTAGTAGAGAGCCCCAGTCGTCTTCAGTGTGTCAACCAATAGACCGCAAAAACATAATGTCAACGTAAATCATGCAAGCACCTAGGAAATCTATGTAACTGCTAAATAAAGTCGGCCGTTTAGGCAAAAAACTTCGGTTTTTAAAATAGATTACAAACTTAAAAAGCACTGACTAATATTCAAAAGCAGGTAACATTAAAAAAGAAGCACGCAACGTCCGCAGTTAATAAAAACAAAATAGTCCTACAAGACCAGACACTAAGCCGGTCACACGATAATGGCCTTTCCCTAATCCTGTGTGAGTGCCAAACGAGATAGGAATTATCAGTTATGCGTCGAATCTTCGGATTATAACCTTATAGTTGGTCTGTGATTGCCTTGTTGCTGGCTGTCCCTGTATTACAGCGCCAATCTGACGCGCTTAAAGCTATCATGGTGCGCTAGCAGCCGTGGATTGGAAAGTTGCCAACTGGCGGAATAAATCGGACCGCGCGGTCAGTCCAGTGTGTGTGTGCTTGTGTGGGGTGGCCGACTACCGGGCTTAGAGTCAGACTGCAATGACTCCTTCTTAATGTGGCCGTTGTGGCACTCCCATTCGGTTGGGAAACACTACAAGGAAACACGGAGAAACGTGAGGACAGCGAAACTGCATGCAGGTACGAATTGTTCTACTTGTTCCTGATGCGACAGGTAATCGCCTTTGAGGAGGTACTGATCTGTACTATTGCGGGAACTGGTAAGTCAGATCATAGTTAATACTCAAGCCACGTGTAGGCTGTGATTAGGCAGTGTCTAATGGGCGTGTGTGGCACGAAGGCCCAGGTTGTATGTGCTGAGATTCGTGCCAGCGCTTCCCTTAGGCATTTGTGTCACGCGTAGGTACAGACTCAGACGCCAGCCACCCGTGGTTGAGTTAGCGTGGCCAGATCCGGCTGCGCCAATGATCTGCACCCGATCCCGCCTGTGGTCCTCTCGACTCTGCCTTGACACCGGGGCTATGCGGGTGAGGGAAGAGAGAGGGAGAGTTTGCGATAGGTGCAACGCAAATCTACTATCAGTTTAAACTAATCCACACCTAAGCCAGCGTCCTTGCACCAACACGATGTGGAGCACATGGTGGACATCGTCTGAATCAATGGTCGGATTGTTATTACGTCGAAATGAACATCTACCTAGAAGAAATACAAACGGACGAAAAGAAATTTCAAGGATTCTGCTCTAGACAATCATTTCCAGTGAAGAGGTAGGTAGATTTTTCCATACCGCGCACTTTCGCCCACCTTCGCGAGGAGACCTCACTCCGCCTTTCCGCCATTATTGCCGATTTAAGTTCCCCTAGATTGAGTTTGTCTGTTCGTGTAAAAAGGTTATAACCTTGTGTGTTCTTGTGGCAATACTGGTTACATTCCCCAGTT